GCCCCTTCCCAAAATTACTTCAACGGAAGGTTTCCAGATGGATATGCGGAGCAAATCCATCTGGCGGAGTCAGGTTAGCATCAAGAGTTCTTCTTATTCTTCCTCTCAGATGAAAATACAGAAGCATAACAGGAGTGTGACTGAAATGAAGTTCTTTCTGTAAAATTGACAGACCGTAGTAGCAACATTTGCTCAGCCATGTCTTTGTCCAAATAGGTCGCCGCCTTTACTTTTTAGAGCTATAAGCACAAAATTGCACAAATTGCCAAGGCAGAGTGTTTCCCTCTACGTCGTGAGCTTCATATTCCTCTTCTTCTGGTTTGGCTTCCGGATAGACGAGTCAGAGTAGCCCCATCTCACTGCGGGGTTGAGTCCGACGTGTTTTTTAGACGTACATTGTGAGCTGTGAACGTCGTACTGTGTGAGCTGTAGCTGCATCCAACGATTGGTAAAAATCGCACAGTGTATGCCCGGCTTTAGAAAACAAGCAAATTGAACCATGAATTGAAAAAGCTTCCTGGATGGAAAGCGAAACGTCTTCAAACCTGGAAACAAAGTCCAGTGGATTGTTTTTAGCTTTTTTGGAATGACTATGACCTGGGTGATTGAGAACCTTCACCAGCAATTAGAGGAACACATCTATTGAAAGAATGCAAGAAAAGTCCCCACAACTGAGGTTAAGAACCCAGCTAACATGGAGGAGAAGACGTTGTGCTCAGAGGAACCCAGATTGAAATTTCCCTGCCTCTAAAAACACCTTTTAGATAAAAGAAACACTGCAGTTTGGCCTGAAGAAACCATCTCCATGGTTAAACACGGTGGTGGCATCATCATGCTGGAAGAAAACCTTTTGAAGACCAAAGATGACCAGAGATTGCGATGGAGATTTGGAGGAAAATTACCGTAAAATGGAACCAGAGATAAAATGGATGGTCTATTGTAGATAAAAGCAAATTTATGTTTTTGCCCAGTCAAAGTCCAAAACTATATAAAAATTAGAATGTGGGGCAAAACTTCAAGAGTGATGTTTACAAATGATTTCTATCTAGTCTGTCTGAGGTTAAGTTGCTTTATAAAGAAGAATAGACAAAAAAACAACAACAGATGTTCAAAGCTAATAAACAGATTTTAGAGAGATTTTAAGTAATTAAAATCTTTCTATTTTAATATATTTTTGTTCTCATTCTCTTCTATTTGAAAAAAATACCTCAGTTTTTCTGTTTTGCTCAAATAAAATAGTGATGAAGCACACAGTATTTTAATTATAAGACGACAAAATTTGAAAATATTTTTTTATGCTTTTGCCCATCACTGTTTACAGAGTTGTATGATGGTGAGAATGGATGTTCAGAAAGACTGGCTGTACCAATAGACTGTGTTTCAGTTTGTGCTGAATATAAACATGGGAAAAATGGCAAAAAACAACAACTCTAATTTTCATCACAAGCATTGACAGTGATATAGGACAGATTAGAGGGACTGAACCACAGTGTTTATAACTATTAGGAAAGCGGTCTGTGACGTCTGTTCTCTGCTGCGCTCTGACCAACACATCCTCTGTGTCACATGTGAAAAACATTCCTGGCCAAGAAACAGCTGGGGAACTTGGCAGAGCGTCCGCTGTGTGTTTGGGAACGTTATTTTGTGTATCTTCATTCATGCGTGAAGGAGCAGCTGACCTCCTAATGGCTGTTTCCAATTTGCAGATTCCAGTTCTGTTTTCGAGTCTCTCACCCTGTGAGCCCCTCCTCACCGGGTGAAGCTCTTATGGCTCCAAGCAGCATCTCTGATGGGATAGCCACACAGTGACCCGCAGGTCAGATTAATCTGCAATGCATTGTTGGACTAATAACCCCCCCGCTCGCCTTTGCATTTATTCGTCTGTGCCGACCCTGTTAGAGCCGGAAAAAAATCTATTTGTTAACCAAACAATGAAAATTGAAGGTTGCTTGTTCCCAGGGGTTTTATAAGAGAGAATCTCCCCCTGGACTCTGCTGCTGACTAATAGAAATCTAGTTTTTTCAAAACTAATCACTGATGGACGCTAAACTTAAAACTAAAAATAATTTTAATGTGTTTTTTTCTTCATGGAACTTTGGGTGATATTCTGTCTCTGTAAATGTATTTTTACTTGAAAGTGCAATTTCAATATACTAGAATACAAAAGCAAAATCATCATAGATATGTTTTTGTTTAACAGAAACCTGGCTCATGGACAGTATCACACTATCATGTTCTGGATTGTGTTTGAAAAGGAAACTAGCTGGCTACAACCTTGTCTGCCCACTATACACTGAGAATGATCTGTTGATTCAGTGGACAAAGCCCCATTCGTAAAAAACAACTGTGGATGTTCTTCATCTCTCTATGTCGAGATAGCTACGGCTATCCTGGAACCATAGATATTTGCTTGTGGAAGAGAAGGCATTTTTTTTATTTCTGGTTGGAGGAAAAAACCAAAATACTCATCTGGGTTTTTTTCTGCAAATATTTTGGCAATATTTTGAAGATGCAGGTAACAAGCTTAACATTTTAGATCTTGGTTTTAAAAACTGCTACAGTGGTATTTGTTTTCAATTTTAATTGTCTGTTACATAACCTCTATACCAAGACCATCCCTTTTTTTCAATTGGTCACAGTCGTCCAATCAGAAGCTCTCTGCTAAAACTCCTTAAAATGTAAAAAAAAAAATATATATATTTTTTTTCGTAACAGTTTAATAATATCAGAATAAATTAACTTTTGTTTTGTTAGAAAAAACATACTTTATTGTTGATCAAAAGCAAAATTTTCATCTTCTGCATATTAAAATAAGTCCAGTAATGAATTCTTTTGGACTTGAATTGAAAATTGATTGATTGATTAATTGATTGACTTTTTTCGATCTCACAGTGGAAAGTTTAAAATTTTAAAAGCTAAACAGATGTAAATTTACTATTTTCTTAGCATTAAGAACCAAGTATGGGAGTTTCAGGCAAGTTTAATGGATCATTTTAGCTGCAGAAAGTCTGTCTTTGAGTCAGTCACAGTATTGATCTGACAATAAAAACAGTTTTGGTTTTCAAAAGAGGAAAAGTTTGTCGTGTACCTTACATTTTCCATTTGAAGAAGACTTACCAAGATATTTACTTAGTAGGCCTAATACTTTTGCACTACTTAACAACAAAACGCCTCCATCTGCATCAGTCAGATGTCTTGTGGGTACCATTCTTGTTCTGCCTTAAGTCCCCGGGCAGTGAATGGTCCCCAAACACCTCACGTCTCTGCATTGCATATTTTATCCAAAATAATGCTGCCATGTAGAATGTAAACATTTTCAGATGTTCATTAGACTGTTCATTTTTGTTAAATCACTCACTTAATTTATTTAATTTATTCTACCTTTGCACACTCATATCGCCCAAAAAACGTGTGTGACCTTCAATCATATTAAATTTTCTGCAACAAAAATGTCTGAAAAAATGTATGAAATTTTTTACAATTGCGGATATTGAAGTAATTATAGATTTATTTTATTGTATTTTATTTATGTATTTGATACGTGATCTACAGTATTTTCCGAACTATAAGCCGCTACTGTTTTTCCCACACTTTGGACCATGCGGCTTATAGGAAAGTGCGGGTTTTCTATCGATATTTCCTAATTGCCTGAGGGGGAAGTCAAAGTTTGAAATGAAAGGATAAGGGGCTAATTTTCATTTGACACAAGAATATGGTAGCAGCAGGCACGACGAAGAACAAACGTCCCAAATTCACACATTTTGACATTTATTTGCCGCATTAAAGCTGCCAAACCAATGAAGAGACTGGGCTCAACTTATGCAGTCAGAAATAAGGAGCTTATAAAGCCCCATCTTTCAGTTGAAGCTCTTACAGCTTTGAGCCAACAAGCTAACGGGAGCTAGCATTCATCTTCTTCTCTATTTCAGGGGCTATATGTAGAGCTTCCCCTACAGGTTTGGTGGGGGACAGTTCAGTAGATATCAGAGGTTTATAGCACAGGGCGGCTTATATATGTACGTTTCCAGTTTTTTCTTTAGTGGGAACAACTTATAGTGAGTTTTCAATTGTTTCATTTGTTGTGCTGTGTCAATTTGCATGTTTTCCAAACAAAAACCTTGTTTTTGTTTGGAAAACATGCAACACCTCGAACTCATCTCTATTCCTGAAATTTTGAATTGAAAAAGATTCCTGGATGGGAAGTGAAACGTCTTCAAAATTGGAAGTCCAGTGGATATTTTTTTTTTACTTTTTTGGAATGACTATGACTTAACTTATATTAAGGTGCGCTCTATAGTCCAGGAAATATGGTATAAATGGTCTCTAGGGATTTTATTCAACAATAACCTGTTTCTCTTTTATAAAACATTCAAATGAAGACATGGATAGAGTTGCCACAGTGCAGTTCAACTATCTGGGTGTAGGCATTATCCTGCAGCGAAGATGAGTTCCTCCTGAGGGAGAATTTTTTTTCTGAATTCTGGCTCATCTGCTGTGTAGCAGCCATGAAACCCCAGTGGTCCCCAGCTTCAGTCCAGTAGAACCTCCTGAGTACAGCCTTTAAAAGTAAAGGCTGCAAACACACATGACTGAAAGCTAATGATGTGGTGTCTTTAAAATACTGCAATACTGCTTTTTTCAGGTTTAAATCAACGTCATAATGATCAGATTCTTTACACATAGAGTCCTTTAATTTCTGATTCCAATACACTGCAGGAGCTTCTCATTTTGACTGACCCAAATGATGTAAAGTCTGCAGTTTTCATTGTTCTCTTAATTAATCTATTTCTCGTATTCCCTAGTATTACAATGTGATGATATGTTTGTTGTTTAGACCTGTGACATGTTTTTGTTAGGTTTTGGTCATGTACATGTTGATTTGCATCAGTTTTTCTATGAATATGCTTTCCTCTCTGTTAGAATGAGATAAAATTCAGTTTAGGGGAGATCAGTGAAGCAGCTTTTCTGGGGGGATTTCAGTTGTTTGTTCTCTGTTTCAGATCTGAAACTGTTGAAGTGTTACTTGACATGGCTGAAAGGAAGATGGGCGGCTTCGGGTGGAGCTGGATGGTCACGCTCATGCTTTTGTGCAATTTAACAAAGGTAGGATAACCCCTCAACACGCAATCAAACACACGCAATCAAACACACAGCTTTGTAAACATAAACAAGCTTCAATTTTACTAAGCTTTGAACAGATACTTTTAGTAGCTAAGGTAGGAATCTATCCACGTTTATTCCATCCAAACCCAGTTCTCATGTTTGTTTCGGTGATTATTCTATTGGAAAACCCTGCTGGGTACAGGTGTTCGCCATTTACATCAGGCATCTCCAATGTCAGTCCTCAAGGGCCGCTGCCCTGCAGGCTTTAGAGTTTTCCCTGCTCCAGCACAGCTGATTTACATTGATAGCTGATTAACAGGCTTATGATGAACTGCAATCATCAGAATCAGCTGTGCTAAAGCAGAGAAACCTCTAAAACCTGCAGCACAGCGGCCCTCGAGGGCTGATTTTGGGAATGTCTGATCTAGATGTTGATCTGCATTGAAGTAAGATAACCTGGTGGTCATGCTTCTTATTCATTAGTCAGACTATCATGCAGTGCACCGGTATCACTATATAGCCCCTTAGCATGGTGCTGCCATCACCATGCTTCGCACTTGGAGTGTACGTTCCAAAGCTTTACCTTATTTGCTTTCATATTATCATTTCATAGTCAACTGTCAGTGGTATTATATCAAAGTAGATGTTCTTAGGTAAAACAACAACTGAGGTATGACGTGATGGGTCATGTAAACAGGCGGAGCAGGGACAGTGGATATTGATGCACAAAGTGTGCAGACATTTAACTTTCTGTAAAGTCACCTCAGACCTCCAGACTTGATGCAGTTTTCAAGTAGCTGAAGAACTGTGCATAGAGAGCTTCATGGAACGAGCAGCTGGCAGGCCACATACTACCACACACTTCCTTCTCTATAGTGATGAATTACACCAGTAGTACCAGTTGAAGTGCTATGAGTGCTCCCAGCAGTGGTGTGGCACCTTCCTCCTCCATCATAACTGTGCACAAGGAAAGGTTCATAGAAACCTGAATAGAAGAATTTGGTGTGGATGAGGTTGACAATGTCCTGACTTCCTCCTCTTTAAAAAGGAATGAAAAGGAGACAGAGAGTCAGGCCTTTTCATCTAAAATCATAGTCTATGATCTCTCAAATTGGCTTCTAGAAAAATCATCGAAAATTCCCATACACATTCTGAAGCCTTGTGGTCAGAGTTCACAGAAGAGTTCAGCCCATTAAAGCTGCAAAATGTGGACCAACATAATGTTGTACACAATCAATTAACAATGGGACGTCACTTAGTTCATATTCAAGTCAAGGTAGGTGATCATAAACTATTGGCAATATAGTGTTTGTGTGATTTTGATCCTGTGCGGATTAGAGAAAAGAGCCCATTGTATTAAATGTATTGGTTTCCCTAGTAATATTTTATGTCTGACGTTTTTTTCAGTTCCTTGGTAGGGCCAGCATGGAGGTTAACGAAAGTCAGCAAGAGCATCCTAACAACGTCTACCATGACATTGGAATCACCAGAAACAAGATAGTTACGGCCCAGTTTGAATGCTACCAGAAGATCATGAAAGACGACACAAACGGCAGACAAGGTAGCTTTAAGGTTTCATGTTTCTACTGCTCAACTCATTTCAGATTACCATACATGTGGATGGTACTGGGTAAAAAGAACAAAAAAGATAGCCTAAGAATTTGAGTTATTTTATTTGTTAGATTTTTGATCCCCTTTTTATGCGTTTGCACACATAAAAAAGGGATCTGATATAGTTTTACAACGAGGACAAAACTGTGATGGGATCATGGTTGGGTTGAACTGCAGTTTCTTGTGAGGCATATTTGGTCTGTTGAAATAGTCCAAGTAAAGAGCCATGCTAAACCAGCGACAGAGTCATTGGAGGCCAAGGCTCATTGATGCATATGTGGAGCAAATGCTGGACCACGCGGTCTGATCCATGAATGAGCTAACAAAGCTAAGATTGTAAACAAGTTAATCCTGGTTTTGACAGAATGTGGGAATAGAAAGGGCATCAATCGGTTGTGTATGGGAGATAACTGCAGATTGGACAGGACAGTCATGCTGTACCTCTTCATACTAAAATACAATATCTCAGAATTCAATAAGGTAATTTTTACTAATGAATCACGCTCTTTATTAATGCCATTTTGATGGCCAAATGTGTCTAGGTTAGCATTAGAGACTGACACGGGAGTGGATTTTCACTCCTGTCCCGTCCCACTCCCACAGAAAAAAATTATGTCCCGGGCCAGAGTAGAAATCTAAATCTAAATCCTGTCCCGTCCCACTCCTGGTGAAATTACTCCCACTCCCATCCCGCTCCCATTCAGAATGACTCCCGCTCCTGCACCACTCCCATTATTGTTGTCTTCAATAAGATTTCTGCCAATACATTGAATCTGAATTTCTATGAAGGGTCAGTTAAGTTCCTGTTTCTAACTGTAGTAAAGGTCAATTAAAGTAAAAGGAATAATAATTATAAATACATAATAAAAGTAACAAACAAGGAAACAGACCATGCTTATCTTAGGTGAATAAACAATCAAAACAAAACTTTTCGAAGTCGAGTTCGCCACTAACTGTTGGTCCCTCCATTGTTGTTTTTGAGCGCGGGTGAAAAACTCAGAGCGGAAGCACTGTTGGTTTTTGGGTCGTGTAGTCTTTTTGACTCGCATTATAGTGTAGGCTTCAAGGGAAAAAAAATACAAAATGGCGGCGCCAGTACTGGATTTTTTTTCTTTCTATTTTATTTTATTTTTTGGCATCGATCCTAGTTTTTTTTTTAGTTACTATTTGTTTGCTCCCGCTCCCGTCTGCTCCCGTTAAGGTTTAATCCTGTACCGTCCCAATCACATGATCGTTACTAATACTGACTCCCATCCCACGGGAATCCCGTGACCCATGGGATTCCCGAAAAAATGTCAGTCTCTAGTTAGCATTAGCATATACTAAAGGCGGATGATGAATTGACTGCATGATGATTTGGGTTTCAGTCTGTGAATAAACCTTAGGTCCTGCCAATGCGAATGTTTATTTGATTTGTATATAATACATAAGTCTTCTAGACTTGTAGGATGGTTTCTTCTGCCAATTGCTTGAGGAGCACATTGGACAATCGGAATTGATTCCTTAGACTTTAAATTTCCCTGACCTCTATTCAATAAAGCATCTGGGGCATATGAATAACAAAGAAGTCTGACTCATCAAGCCCCTCCAACTTCCAAAAATTAAAGAATCTACTGATAACATTTTGGTTCTTGACATCAGAGGACAAATTCAGGACTGTTGTAGAGTCAATGCCTTAAAGGGCTTAGAGATGTTTTGGTAGCCAAAGGGGGACCAACAAATATTAGAAGTTAAGTCTTAATGTTAGTAAGGCTTAATGTTATGGCTGATAAATGCGTATATTACTCAATCAAAGTAGCCCAACTAAGAAATGTCTGTGGTTTTAGAATCCATGTGTAATCGGACTTGGGATGGATGGCTGTGTTGGGACGACACCGAAGCAGGAGTTACATCGGAGCAGCACTGCCCCGACTACTTCCAGGATTTTGATCCCTCTGGTGAGATCTGCTGTTTCGAACAGAGAAAACAATAAACATGGATTTTATTTTTTATTTTTTTTTACCAAGAGTTTAAGGCAACTTCAACTAAAACAGCATCAAAGAAATTCTAGAAAACTACAGGGAAATATTGTCAAGCGTGGCATCCACTATGTTTTTGTTTTTTTGACTAGAGATAAGACAGGTATAATATCCTTAAATTATAATTGATTACCAAAATGGGTTCCTAAAGACTGTTTGGATCCCATCCATTATTTCTTTTTGAGATCTTTTGAGCCCAGCTGGCTGCATCGATTCATTGATGATTATCCGGAGTAAGCTTGTTATGGCATTGGAAATAATGAGTACCTTTCACCAAAAAAAAAAATTTATATATATATAATTTTTCTTTTAATTATTTTTTTAACTTCTGTTTTCTCTTTCAGAAATGGTGACAAAGATTTGCACGGAAAGTGGGCAGTGGTTTGTGCATCCCTTCAGCAACCGGACATGGAGCAACTACACACGCTGCACCGAGCACACCAATGAAGGCATGATGGTATGTCCTCATAAAGGACATCTTTGCATAAACTATTGAAGATCTGACCTTTTTCAAGCATCTGAGATAATACTAAACAGTTAAACACCAAACTCACACAGCACCACAAAATTGACCTGGCTTTTAGCTCAAAATATTCCCATTTCTAAAATTAGTAAATGTGTAAAGAAACAACAACAACAAAAAAAGTACAAGGCATTGAAAGTTGCCAAAGATTGATGCCATCATGTTTGGATGGCCAAACAAAGACATCAATGAATGACATCTTTATCAGACCCCACTAGTGATGGCAAAATTTCCACAAGATTTTGCAAAATAATTTACTAAGACATCGGGAGAGTTATCTTACACAACATGCCCTGAGACTTAGCATATCACTAACCTAACCACGGATCTAAAAAGCACTTTCTGCTGAGCCCTGTCTACCCGAAATACATTCTCCATATTTCTATTGAAAACATATTTTATTAGAATTAGTCCATTCATATATAAAGGCTCTTTCCCACTGAAAATGATGGGTTAACCCGTCATTTTTTTTTTAAACATTAGTGGACTGATGGCAGCTGAAAGGATTTCACCAAGCAGCGTCAAAAAAAAAAATATTTCCTTATACCAACGTATCTGGCTCCTAGCTGGAGAAGAATGCACACACCTCCAAATTGCACACATGATTTCAGGATTGTACCTTAACTGGTTCCAGGGAGGCCTAATGTAGAGGTTTTGAAGACATATGTAATTGAGGAATATCTTTCTTCCAATTCTTTCCAGACGGCGATGAATCATTTCTACTTAACCCTCATAGGACATGGACTCTCTCTGGTTTCCCTCCTTATCTCTCTGGCTATATTCTTTCATTTCAAGTAAGTCCCTGATATCGGCCTGCTTTAAGTTTAGGTCTCAATGGTTGATTCTCGTCTGAGTGAATAAAAATATCTTATTTTTCCTGCAGAAGTCTGAGTTGCCAGAGGATTACTCTTCACAAGAACCTCTTCTTCTCCTTTGTTCTGAACTCTGTAATCACTATCATTTGGCTGACCGCAGTGGCAAACAACCAGGAGCTGTTGCAAAGAAATCCAGTGAGTTCATTATTTGGTTCTAATCCATCTTCACTGTTTACTTCCCTGTTCTTTCAGCTTGCACTGCTGCTCAAATCTGGGCCTAAAAAGCAGCTGGGAGAATACTGACGAATCCTTCTATATTCATTTTAAAATCACAGATAAGTAATATATATCACTAGTAACCATTAATTGAATGATCTTTGAAAACACATTAGCTGGGAAGCCAAAATTGTAAATAATTGGGGATAATATATGTTTATTTTGAAACTGAAAGTTAGTTTTCTAGTTAACTGTTTATAGGGCACATTACAGTTTTTGATCACTTGCATACCCCTTACAAATGGAGTCCCCCCCATCCCTCAGTGAGGTCTAGAAGCAAAAGATCTATATCCAGCCATTTAGCAAAGATACTGCTACATGGCCGTTCATCTTATTTTGGCATTTGACCAATTAGATGGGCCCTTGAATTATATATTACCTACTGTAAATTAAATTGGGGAGAAAAAGAGTTAAAAAGTCAAGAAAAAGGGTAAAAAGCTAATAACAAAGTTCAAAAGTCAAGAAAAAAAGTAAAAAGCTATTTAGAAAGTTCAAAACTAAAGTTTAAAAGATAAAAAAAAGCTAATTACAAAATAATAAAAAAATCAAGAAAAAAAAGATAAAAAGTTTATTAAAAAGTTAAAAAGTCAAGAAAAAAGGTAAAAAGTTAATTAAAAAGTTCAAAAGTCAAGAAAAAAGTAAAAAGCTAATTGGGAAGTTAAAAAGTAAAATTTAAAAGATAAAAAGCAAATTAAAAAGTTCAAAAGTCAGGAAAAAAGGTAAAAAGTTAATTAAAAAAGTTCAAAAGTCAAGAAAAAAGTAAAAAGCTAATTGGGAAGTTAAAAAATAAAGTTTAAAAGGTAAAAAGCTAGTTACAAAATAAAAAGAAAATCAAGAAAAAAAGATAAAAAGTTTATTAAAAAGTTAAAAAGTCAAGAAAAAAGGTTAAAAGCTAATTGGGAAGTTAAAAAGTAAAGTTTAAAAGGTGAAAAGCAAATTAAAAAGTTCAAAAGTCAAGAAAAAAGGTAAAAAGTTTATTAAAAAGTTAAAAAGTCAAGAAAAAAGGTTAAAAGTTAATTAAAAAGTTGGAAAGTAAAGAAAAGAAAAGTCAAAAAGTTAATAGGCCTAGTTAACAATTATATTTAGGGTTATAAACTAAAAAAATGTAATTGCCAGTATCAGCATTAATGCCTCTAAGGTTATGTTTGACCAAAAAAAAAAGTGTTTCTTTCACACTCAGAGAGTTTTTCATGAATTTCTTATTGAAGCACTTTTGTTATTTTTCTTAATATTTTCAGGTAAGTTACATTACATTACATTGGCATTCATTTTTGCCATCAAAATATCCAAATTTTTTTATGTTACAAAGGTAATAACGTCTTGTCCTGGATTCCAATAACACTATTAGCTTGAAATGTGGATTTTCAAAGGATTTCACTATAAAGGACTAATAGTTAACATTTAAAAGATCCTTCTGAGAAGCCATAGACATACAGATGTTTTGCTGTCTTACAACTCTCCTGTGTGATATTCTCCTGTTTTTGTGTGTGTTTTTTGTGTTTCCTCAGGTCAGCTGTAAAGTGTCCCAGTTTATCCACCTCTACCTGTTTGGTTGTAATTACTTCTGGATGCTCTGTGAGGGGATTTATCTGCACACTCTCATCGTCGTGGCTGTGTTTGCTGAGAAGCAGCACTTGATGTGGTATTATCTGCTAGGATGGGGTAAGTGGGGACAAATAGGTCTATTAAAAACACAATTACTCCTCTATAAGCTAATTAAAATGTTGCTCCTTTTTTAGGCTTTCCTCTTATTCCTGCCTCCATTCATGCTATTGCTCGGAGTTACTACTACAACGACAAGTACGTTTACTAAAGATAATGATCAACATGACAAATCTTTGTGCCGAACTGTTGTAAATAGGCCGGTACTGTGCGCTGCTGATATTGTTGCATAAACTTCTCTCTTTACTCCTCTGTAGCTGCTGGATTAGCTCCAAGACATCGCTGCTCTACATCATCCATGGTCCCATATGTGCTGCTCTCTTGGTAAGACGGCTCTGATGAAATCAGTCTGTTGGCTTGGTGGAGTTAAACTGATCCGGTCCATGTTGTCTCTGGGCACCCTGTTTTTATTGCACAATGAGCAGAGCGACCTGTTTCTGGCCTCTTCTGAGAGAACACTGCAGTGGTGGTGGACGGCTTTAATTTTGTTTGTCTTGTGAAATCACTTCATCTGCCCTCCGAGGGTCCACTGATAGCCCCCCAGGTTGTTTTTTGTTTTGTAAGAATTGACCCAATTAGAACAACAGGACGTACTGTATTTCAGAGGAAACGGATCAGTCAGCTGTCTGAGACAGAAGGTTGCATTTATTAAAACTTGTTTGGATTTCAGACGCAAAGTTTTAATATTGTAGCCATCAAACAACTTTTCAATCATATTCTTAAGTGCTCTTTATCATGAAAAGTTTAGGTTTTTGTGTTTTTTACCTTTGCTGCTTTTCTTTCTGTGCAGCCTTTTCCACAAAACGACTCATTTAATCAAATACAGTTCATTTCTCTTTGGGATTAATAATATATTACTGAATTGAATCGAAGTCTGTTGATGAGTAATGAAAAATAGTTTTATACCGTTCTACATCATGTTCTGTCCTTTCCCAGATATGGAGCTTGTGTAGGGATTTAAGCAACTGCTATGATGTGATCCATTTTCCCGGTGTTGGTCTGAATTAAGCTCCTGATGCCTGATTTTATATTTACAGAAACACATAAACTGAGGCTGATGTGGTGATCTAAACTACAGAAGACAACTGGGACTTTTGCCCTTGTGTTTCCCTTTACTTTTATTTGTTTTCACACTGAAAGATCAACCAACAGGCCTCCAAATAGGAATTGGCTAAAAGCCTCATGGGATGCTAGGCATGGGCATGGGAAAATAGACAACCAGTGTGGAATAATTCAGTCCAGTTTATGTCTAAATCAGATTGATTCCTTTAATGAACGACCATAGTAACCTGTGATTGGGCACTTTGCTGAAGTTTATTCTACCATACAGTAGTACGGAAGAGGATTAGGGCCACTGAAAAAAAAAAAAAGTTAACTGATTTTTTAATTTTATTTTAGTTTAATATGGGAAAGAAGTCAGAATTGTGACTTTTTTCTCTCAGAATTCTGACTTTTTTTCTCAGAATTCTGACATCTAACAAACATGTTAGCATCAAACCATAGGCATGTCTGTTTTAGAGACTAGCTCTCTTGTTTTAATGACCTTCTGCTCCTCCATTAATGAGGAGACCCCTCAGGCATGTAAAAAGTTGCCTAATTCCGCCATTTTCCACCAATGTGTCACTGGCCACCTCAAACAACTCACATCGTTGTCAGTGAAGCTGAGTGCTCCACATCTCTTCCTTCATGGTGTCCATCTACATTAAGATCCAAAATTCTGAGATTAAAGTCAGAATTCGGAGAAAAAAGTCAGAATTCTGACTTTTTTTCCCATGTTAAACTGAAATAAAATGTAAAAATCAATTAACTTTTTTTTTTTTTCAGTGGCTCTAAATTCTTCCGTACAGTAATACTTAGGCCCCGTCCACACGAAGACGAACCCTGGCCTAAACGCACAAATCTTTCACCAAACCAGCCTATCATCCACACGAAGCCGGCGTTTCGGGGGTCTGTAAACTATCTTTTTTTTATTCAGCCTTCAGAGTGGGAAGATTTCGAAACGCCGTTTTCGCGTTTCCATCTTTACGCTCTAACCGCATATTTTTTTTTACAAGCATGCGTCATAGCGTCGCCTCTAAACACGCATGCGCGACCAGTATCACAACAACAATGGCGCCGTTGCTGCTAATGCTACTCACCCTGCTGTCGGGCTTACAACAGAATCTTCCTCTTCTGGAATATCTCCAGGAAGAACAGATCAATATCGACGACATAGTTCAGCACCTGAATTTGACTTAACCACGAAAATGGACCCGCAGGGCAACCATGTATAAATATTAGTGCGCATGCCCAACATTTCGTCGCTTATTTTTGCTTTGGCACCACAGCGCCACTTACAGGCCTGGCATACATTTTGCAGCGTTTTCATGCATTCTTGTGGACGCTCACATTTATTTTACGTCTCCGTCTTTACGGCAAACGTTTTGGAAAATATCAGCGTTTCGTGTTCGTTTTGACTTCGTGTGGACGGGGCCTTAAATTGACTCAAAGAAGGAAATGTTTGTTTCATTACGAATCTTCAGGATTTCTGCACAGATGATTCAAATAAATAGGCTGTATTCATTGTCTTGAGTCTGACCTTAAAGCGTGAAATTAGAATCGGAGGTTCCAGACAGGGCGCCGATGATTGAAAGCCTGGCAGAGAACCGTGAATTAAATTGAACCCCAGGGCTTTGTGGTTGGGAATAGTTTTTGGTAGATCATAAAGAGTTCCACCAAGAAAATGGCATTTATCATGTGACTAGAGACTTTTAAAAGCTTCAGCATACTCTTTAAAGGACTCCGAACGTGTTTCAGACAGACATTCTGTCCTCTTGGCAGCAGTGAACACATCTGGCAGATGTGCATTTACACATGGTGAAGGCAGATGATCTGCAAGCAGGTCGGTCTGTCCTAAAAAGACAGACTGAGAGTCAAACCCAACAACCTTATATCATAAGGAATATTGACCTGACTCCCTTTTCCCTCCAGGTCAACTTGTTCTTTCTGCTAAACATCGTCCGAGTTCTCATCACCAAGCTGAAGGTGACGCATCAGGCAGAGTCCAGTCTCTACATGAAGGCAGTTAGAGCCACTCTCATCTTGGTTCCTCTGTTGGGAATTGAGTTTGTTCTGCTTCCTTACAAGCCGGAGGGACGGGTCTCCTCTGAAATTTACGACTACCTTATGCACATACTAATGCATTACCAGGTAAGCAGCCAACCATCAGCTCTGAGTTACCGACTGAAATAACCGGAACCATCTTGTATAATGTATAAATTGTGCTTTTTAATAGCTGTTCTCTAATAATATGTGCATAGAAACATCTTTGGGAGTTTTATCTAATTTATTGTTTATTAAATCTCTGTACATCATATATCTTCTCTTTACTGAACATCATTTAACTAGAATAAACTGCTGCTTGGATATCCTGCCCATTATATCCTGCAATACGAAGAACAAGCCCCCCACCCCCATGAAATGTCTTTTCTTAACTTTATCTACTTTGTAGCTCTATAGCCACTAGAACTGCTCTCCCACATAAGTCTTAATGGAAGAAATGTTTTATTTTCCCATTTCAGGGTCTGCTTGTGGCAACCATCTTCTGCTTCTTCAATGGAGAAGTAAGTCGGACATTTGACCTTTGAGTGATCTCTTCTATACTTCGTCTTTGTTCTCCATGTTTAAGGTATACCGGCAGCCAATGTTTTAGACAGATATTTGCGTTTTTTCTGCATCAGTATTGGCCTTAAAGAGCTTGGTTGAGTCAATCTCTACTCAACATACAGAAACATTACTATTTTGTTCTCCGTTCTTCTTCTATCATGTTATTTTTTTTTCCTAAAGGCCAATAAACTTCAATTAATGCTAACTTATGTAGCATTACTTTCCTGCAACCATGGGCTGAGACAGGGGACAGGGGTCCTGTAGAACTGATCATGTCCACTGTACCGAAGATTTAGAATTAAATGTATTTCCTATTATATGTACTTACAAAGAAACCATAACTGATTGGTCACTTTGATTTATTTTTTGTCAACCTTTACAGTTTTATTTCAACAGTGATTTAAAAATGAATGTGTTGCTCTTTTAGCTTCAGTTGTATTGAGATCGGATCACAGTTTTAGGGGTGCGCCAGTTATCGTATTCTGGCTGACAGCCGATCTTTAAAAAGCCTGAAATGCTCATTGCAATTTTGACCAATAGCAGTGTTTTATAACAGTTGCTATAAGGTTCACAACGCACCCTGAATTTTACAAAAAAAAAAAAAGTCCTATGACACATTAAAAACTAATTCAAAGTAGACAGCATTGTTCTGTTGAGTATAAAGGAAAAGTTAACAGCACTGGGATTAGTGGTTATTATTGGTTTTACATCTAAATTTCAGCTGGAAGCACATGGTGTATAAATCAGTGGGCTCTTACTTTTTATCTGCTAAACCTCGGTTCTCCAGATTTGCAAGTGGCTATTTGCCTTTTTATTTCTGGCCCCCATGAACAAAATTTAGAGCTACCACTCGTCTTTAAGGTACATGTATAGTGGAGGACATTCTTTTTCTGGGTGGATCATCAAAATAAGTGGTCCTCCTAATTGTCAATCATTCTGGTGATATGTTTATGTAAGGCCGTCCTACGTGCTTTGCCCCATTTTCACTTACCGGTGGTAAGTCTGACATAGTGGAAAAATTGTAACTCTTCTTTTGGAAAGTAAGTTTGTATGAGCGATGCAAAGAACAACTTTTAAACAGAGCGCGCACGAGGAGAAATGGGCTTGTGCACGCTCTCGCAAGTGGTTAATAGGCGTTCCCTCTCTGGAGCGGGTACAGGGTTGTGCATGTCCATTTTTTTAAGGTGGAGAGCACGAGTCTTTTCAAAAATTCGCGAAAATCCTCCACTATACCTTTAACAAAGAGCAAATTGTTAAGTTATATTTAAATAGAGCAATTATTTCTCATTATAATCAAAGGGATGAACTGTATTCGATAGGGCCACTGCTTCTCATGAACTCCCTTCTGTCTAACCCCCGTCTCTCTTGCTCAGGTCCAAGCGGTTCTGAGGCGGCACTGGAACCAGCACCACATCCAGTTTGGCAGCAGCATTGGGAACCACTCGGACGCCCTGCGCTCAGCCTCCTACACGGCCTCCTCCATCATCGAGGTGCAGGGCTGCTACACCATCGATGGTCACACGGAACACATGAACGGAAAGGGCTTCCACGACACAGACGCTTCCATGCTGAAGTCGGACAGCACCTTCGCCTGACAACCAGGCCCTTTCTGACTCTACCCATCCCTCCAATTTCTTAACATCTGCATCATTCATGGAGAAGAGGGGAACTCTGACCGGACGGTGTCAGGAAGTGTGTAGAAAAGGATTCAGAGTGTCACAAACATTAAGGAAACGCTCACTTGTCTGCCTCTCCGGAGGTCGGTGAGCTCTGCACAGCTTCTCTTCCACTGTTCTGCTGACGTGTCGGTCGTTCCACCTGGACTCTCACATTCTACTATTCCTGATACAAAAGTTTTTAAACTAATGCATAAGGACTGCTGGTTTATGCTTCTGGCACCATGTTGTGGACAAAAGCCCTTCGTTTAGACTGTAAAAACCCTTTTAAAGAGACAGTGCCAAACCCGTCTTTCCAATACAGCCGCTCTCCTTACGTTTATCCAAGAAATGACGAAGATATAACATTAAATCATAATATATATATTAAAGATACACCATATTGTTTATCATGGTTTTATCTAAGCATTCGTGTTTCTAAAATATTACCATGCTGTCTTTATTATAGACCTGCTAGGTTTTATTTGAAATCAGACAGCAGATGTGCTTTAAAATCATCTAACCATGACTGGGAGGAAAAGTCTGGTTTTGAAGAGCAAGATTGTGTCACATTCCCTTTTTATCCCTTCACGGCTCAGACTGAGCAGAAATGAAAGCTGTTTCGGGTAGAAGCTGCAGATCGTTGTGTGAGAGAGAGAGAAAAAAAAAGAACTGAAGGAAATCTTGTTTTATAACTAGAAGTTTTACCTCAGGTGTACGCAATATACTCCACAATGGATAGTATTTATTGATGAAAGCCAAGGGGACAGGCTATGAAATAAAAGCTAAGCACAACCCACAATTTTATATCAGCTTCGGGTCATTTCGACCATTTGCAAATTCATACCTCCATTTTGTACCCTTAAAAAGACATTTTCTCTTTCTTTTTTTTTTGTACCTATGTATGTGGGATTTTTTTCTGATCCCAGTTTGAATCAGTCCACTAATGAAGTTACGCTGACAAAGATGACTAATCAAACCAGAACAACTTAAACTTTTTAATTTAATCATGAAAAGAAAAAATTCTGACTTGGACTCGTCTGTTGAGTCCCTAAATATCTTTATGAACTAAAATCAGGAGTCAAAGCGAAGTTGTCTGGAAGCAAACTGCCGCTGTGATATGGTCAACATTCATGCTCCTGTCAAAGGGAGCGCTTGATTCGTCCACCAGTTACCTTCAGAGCTTTAACCTAGAGTTGGTAGCTTCCTGCAAACAACATAGATATTTTCTAGCTGAAGTCTGTATTATTTTATTTTGGATAATTTTAGTGGTGAATTAGCCAAACCGCCTAGCCTAGCCTAGCCTAGCCTAAAAATGGAACCTTATTATATCGTTAGATTGTTATAAGGACCTTTTTCTGCTTAACAAAATAAAAGCTCTCCCTGTTATTTTCAGACATTCAACATAATTTTCCAAGTCTAACAGAACATTGAATCATGCCAGAAATCTTTAGTACAGTCCTTTTTGTTTGCTGATGTTTAAAGGCTCAACACTTGTTCATTTGCAGAACTAAGTGTGGAGAGCTGTTGTTCAGATTAAGAACCAGACACCAAATCACACCAGTGATCCCTAAAGACGCCTAATTAGGGACAGGGAGAGCATTTTTTTTTATTTATAAAACCTCACTTAATTACTGACTTAAAATGAATTCAAGCTGATTTAAACCACTGGTATTGGAGAGAAGTAGCTCAGGTCCAAATCCTGCTTCCCATGTCGCAGCATTCAGCCTAAAAATGCTGAGCAGCAGCAGACATGGAGAGGATTAAGAAGGCGGGTATCACACCAGATGGACTCTAATGGGATTTCCAGAACAACTTGTTGACAATGATGCAAACTTTTTTTTTATTTTTTATTCTTAAGATTAGCCTTGATTGCTTTCAGGTTGAGAATCTTATTATTATTATGATTAATTTAGAAAGAGTTAAACCAAACCTTCATTTTTTTAGCGGCAACTCTTGTAAGATACAATAAATAGAATTAAAATATGTTCACAGCTTTGCAGAAATATTGAAAAAAGTAGAAATTCTGTTTTTTATTGACTGACGTTAACCAAAAAAACTGTGACTTTAATCACAAGGTATCTGTAAATATTTTTAGTGTACCTTTAAATGCCATTTACTCACGATCCTGCTATGTTGTAATTTATGGATTGGAACATGTTTACTGTTAAGTCTTAAGAAGGTTTACAATTAATGTCTACACAATCTCAAAAAAGTGAAGTTTTCTTTTGACAAAGATTAAATAAAACCTCAGAAATTGAAAAAGAACAGGTTTTTATCTATTTTTTTTATTGTTTTGTCTAAATACAAACCAATAATCAATTTTAACAATTTGACATTTGATGGAAGAACCAAAAATATAGATAAAACAATTAATAAAATAAATTCAAAGGGTTTTAATTTCAAACATCAAGATATGCAGGGTTATATGAAACCTATCTAATTCATATTGTTTGTAGAGTTAAAGAAACCAGATAATTGAATTAAAAGAAATTCCTCTCAGAAGATTCCACATAAATCAAATATAATATTTAAAAACACATCAGTTTTCAAAGGTACGAAACATGTTGGTATGAATTGAAGCATGGTCTGTCGAAATGGCCCAACCTGCAAAAAGCATCTGGTACAAAACGACCAAAAGTACAAAATGGCGAAGGGACGAAATGACCAGCACCCTTCAACAGCTTTTAGAGCCAAAACGCAGCAAAGGTTGAACTTTATCGCTTTTTCTACGGCTTACATTTCAGCTTAGACATTAAAAACTGCTTACGGACAAAAGAACTGCAGGCTGGTTGTTTGTTTTTTCTAGAGGGGCTATTTTAAGGCCAGTATGGATAAATTATTACAGCAGAAATATTTTTCTAAGTATTTCTTGGAAAGCAGAAATAAAACATAGAGGACTCTATAGAAGCGTTGTGCAATAATTGGATAAAATCCAGAAGCAACTAAAGCCTTTTTCATTGCAAGTTCTCATTACACCAAAGAAAATGTATTTAATTAGATCTGAGGAAGGAAAAATGCATAAAGTCTGTTTTTAATATACTTTCCATCTGAACATAATAATTTCTAGTTTATTTTTAAGTTATCTGTACACTTTCGTTTCCAACAATGCAAATAAAAATGAGGCGATTGATATATTTTTTGTAACAGGTGAGTAAAATCTAATAAACTGTCATCTTTCTAGCATCATTAGCATGAAAATACAACAGGTTCTTAATTACTACACTTTGTTGTCTGCATGCGATCGTACTCAGCCCATTTATCTCCCAAACAACTTAATTTTCCCTGGATTTTAGAGGCCTTTAATGGATCGGATCCACAATGCTGGGAACATGAATCTGTTTGAGCTGGTGTAAATAATTTTGTACATCTTTTACCAGAGAACATGCAAGATAATGCCTGCATGATTTCTATATAGACAGTATTTCTGTAAATTCAGAGGCATCCAACCACTGCTCCTGTGTTTGATAGAGAGGGGTGGCTCCGCTGAGCAGGAACTCTCATGCTACCGTATCCGCCTGCCACTCGGACCTGTCATCATCCCCGTCACATTGTGTCACCTCTCCATTGTGCCTGTTAGAAAGCATGAAGCTGATAAGCTCCAGTTGTCTCGCACACACTTCAGATCCATCAACAAAATCATTGCTGGTTATTTGTTCATCGATTGAATGTCTCCGTTTTCAGACTTTAATTCAGCTGTGATGACTTACAGGATGCAGCGCTGACCAGGAGGCACCATATCTGCAGGAACAGTACATGGACTCATTAAAAATTATTTGTTTTGAGAAATTAGATGATATACCTGGAATGAATCAAACAGGCTTGGTAAAAAGAAAGTACACCCTGGTTTGAGCAGGTCATTTCACAGGACAAGATAAAACCGGTCAGGACCCGAGCAGGTTCGAAAGCTAATTCTGTTTGTGCTGGGGTGTGGAAAACGGATTTGACAATGTGAGTTTTGATAAATAAGAGCCTTGATCCAGCAGCTCATAGAACCACCAACAATTGTAGAACCACTGTCAGCTGTGTTGAAGTGTGGAGAACCTCCCTTACAGCTGGTAAAACCTTCCTAAAGGCTTGTAGAATCTCCATAGACATTTGTAGAACCTACATACATGTTTGTAGAACCTCCCTTAAGCTTGTAGAACCTCCCGTAAAGCTAAAGTAGCTCCCTTACGGCTTGTAAAACCTCCCTAAATGTTGTAGACCACACGCTTGCAGAACCTCCCTTACGGCTTGTAGCACCTCCCATAAAGCTTGTAACCTTCCTTAAAGCTTGTAGAACCTCCCTTAAAGCTTGTAGAACCTCCCTTTAAGCATGTAAAACCGTCCTAAAGGCTTGTAGAATCTCCCTTAAAGCTTGAAGAACATCCCAAAACGCCAGTAGAACCTCCCTAAATGCTTGTATAACCTCCATAGACATTTGTAGAACCTACCTACATGCTTGTAGAACCTCCCTTAAAGCTTGTAGAACCTCTCTTAAGCTTGTAAAACCTCCCGTGTAGCTAAAGTAGCTCCCTTACGGCTTGTAAAACTTCCCTAAACGTTGTAGACCGTCCTTACACGCTTGCAGAACCTCCCTTACGGCTTGTAGCACCTCCCATAAAGCTTGTAACCTTCCTTAAAGCTTGTAGAACCTCCCTTAAAGCTTGTAGAACCTCCCTTACGGCTTGTAGCACCTCCCATAAAGCTTGTAACCTTCCTTAAAGCTTGTAACCTCCCTTAAAGCTTGTAGAACCTCCCTTTAAGCATGTAAAACCTCCCTTAAAGCTTGTAGAACCTCCCTTAAAGCATGCAGAAGCTCCCATTTGGCTTGTAGAGCCTTCCTTATGGCCTCCACCAGCAGCAGAGGCTCCCAGTAGTCGATAGAGAAACTCACGCTGCAGTCAGTCTATCTGGATTCTTTTAGTCTTTCACATCTTCGGGGAAAAAAATGAAACATGCATTGACTTTTGCAGATATTTGTTCCTGCACAGCTCTCTGAATATATCCAGAGAATGTACTTAAGGCTGAGGTATCTGCTCTTTGACTAGGCCACTGAAACGCCTTAAATGCTTTTTAATTAATCTGTTTCATATTAGCTGCTATGTATGAAATCTTCCAGCTTCAACTGTTGGACACAATTGGCACAAGTTTGATTCTTAAAACAGTGACTGCAAGGTGTCCAAGTTACCCAGCTGCAAAACTAGTGAGATCATTGAATTAAGTTGAATTTATTGAATTGAACCAAACTGAATCATTGTCCCTACACGAAGCTTGACACTTACTAACAGCTGTTTTATGCTGTTCTGTATGTCTTTTTCCGAACACGTAGAAAGACATCTTTGCTCTAAAATATCATTTTCATGTAATAATGCAGAAGTGTTAATGTTGCACTTTTTTTTTTTTTTAATACAGAGTAATAGTGTTGGATCCATTAGATTTTTCTCCATACCTACCTTATAAGCCCCAAAGGATTTCATAAAAGCCTGAAATTAAAGAGGGTGTACTTTCTTTAAACCTCAAATGTTTTTGTTTTTTTCATAAAAAATAAACTTTGCAGGATAATCTTTCTGATCTTTGACAGAATTGTTGAAGTGAAAGAACCAGAAGTCAGAGTTAAAGATTTTTCATCAAGACATATTGAACCGTTTTCGATGCTTAAACTTTCAATAAACTCATCTAAACTGTGGTAAAGCCAAACAATTTTTGGCAAAGTGTTGTAAGTTTTGTGTATTTATGTGTGAAAAGTTTTCATATGACTCTCCAAAGAGTTTGTGAAGTCCCCAGTGACAATTTTTGTAAACTGTTGTAAAGGATGTCAAACGCATCAAGGACAATGTCTGTAGTTCTTGTTTCTAATGTACTGTATCTAACTTTAATAGTCTCGACACGTTGACGCCACACTGCTGTTTGAATGTTTATGGTTTTGTTTTTATTTCTTGAATGTTAAGAACATATATCTATATATTTACATATCAATGTTTCTCTTTTAGATATGTCAGTGAACTAGACAATGTTGCTATCTTGTGTGTATCTGCATACTAAAACAGAATAGCACAGCACAAGTCCTCGAGTTCTTTGTTTTTATTGGCATTTCCCGAAAAGACAATAGGGTCTTGGTTTCACAATTGTGACAACACAGGAAGTTTTTACCAGGGGGTCATGATGAGAGACAATGTTAAATAGGTGGCCGAAAGAGAAGAAAAGTTTTTGTTTCCTTTGAATATTTAGAGAAAAAATAAAGAAGTTTGGACAAACTTTGCAGAAATTGTGCCCTTAAAATCAGTGAAACTGAATTATATATTTCTCAAGTGGACGTTAGTCATCATGTGTTGACATTTAAAATTCTAGACGTCATATAATTTGGTCCATTAAGATCACTGTGATTAAAACATTGTTAAAAAAAAAAAAAAAAAACTCTTCGAAAGCATATGGATAACACAAAGAGGCTTTGGAAATACTGGAAACACCTGTGTTTCTTCTAGATGTTTTGTGGCGTACAGTACATGCCCTAGAATGGGACAGATTATTATGTACAGTAGGAAAAGGCCACATGAAGTATAAAGGCTGCAGACATTATTGTCCAAGTGTCTTATTTCCATGCAGAAAACATTTCTATCAAGCATATATGAGTAGTAACAATAAAATGACTTAAAATTTAGTTTTATTCAGTTTTTCAATTCCATTAATATAGCGCCAGTTCACAACACATGTCATCTCAAGGCACCTTACAATTGAACCAGATCATACAATCAAATTAATTCAGAGTTTTCTATCTAAGGAAAACCGGTTGATTGCATTAACTCATAGGCAGTCCCTCACACTAAGCATGCTTGTAGCGACAGTGGAGGGGAAAAACTCCCTTTTAACAGGAAGAAACTTCCAGCAGAACCAGGCTCAGTGTGAGCGACCATCTGCCAGGCCGACTGGGGTTCACAGAGACAGAAGCAGAGATAAAAAAGGCAACTATAAACCAGGTCCACAGGCGGCCACGTTCAGTAAACACAAAGCCAGCCAGACAAGCTCTGAGCCAGCTCCCATCTCAGAGGATGAAGAGAGCACATCCAGCCAGTCACCAGGACTACCCTGAAAAACAGGCCAATCTTGAATATCTATAAACAAAGGTGTTGATGGCAGCAGCACAGATGCTATTTCTCTCCAGGATGGAGTCACAGCCCAACAGGAACAGACCAGATGAAGCTACAATGAGAAAAAGCAGAGAGAGCATAACGATAGAGACTGAACTAACAAATTCTGCAGAGTGGGAGAATAGAGATAGAATGAAGCAGAATGATGAAAAAGGAGTCCCTATGTCCTCCAGCAGTCTAAGCCTATAGCCCTCTGTTACTGTATGATGGCATGACTGTGTTTAAGTATCGAGGAAAGTAAATTGTATTTGCAAGTGCAGCTTGAAAAGTTAAAGTTCTTGTTTCTATGTCCATGGAACCAATGTGGTCAATCTGGGTGCAATTTGGAGCTGTGTGCATGAAGCCGGCACTGTTTGCAAGGGCCTTAAGTATGATGACCTTCCAATAGAACGTTTCTTTAGAAGGGAAACTCTCACATGTTGTTTATTAAGGAGTGCACTGTGTTCTTGATATGTGGCAGAGAACAACCACACATCCAAATCCTGGCTGATTTTGAACTTTGCAATGGGATTTTGATCTGTTGACTTGGACTTAAACTTAAAGTAACAGACTTTAAGGAAAATATGTTAATATAAAACAATTATGTTTAACTTTGTTAACCAATGGCAAGTTGCATAATTTAACTTTTAGAATTGTATTCCCCTTCTGTTC